AGACTTGCGAAGTCAGGGGGGACCAGGAGTGGAGGGGGGGTCGTGGTGGTGTGGAGTGTAGGCAGGGAGGGGGCACGGGTCAGCCTCTGGCTTCAGAGCCACTGGACCTCATCGGTCAGAAAAACGTGTCCCCTGGTTGAACCCTGTATGATCGCAGCTTGGTCATTCCGCTGCTTCTGCATTGCCATCGATTTCCACCCTCACCTCTCTCACTCTGCCTTTCCTTCGATATCTGCTGCTTATATTCCTACCATTTGTTTCTGTTACTACACGCATGGCATCACGGCATGGCCTGCGTTCCCATGAGAGGCCGGAGCCCCTTCACCAGAGCCACCGTTCTTTATTTTTAATCTCAAGAAGATTGATTTTTGAAGGGGTCAAACAGGAGTGAGTGCACTTCCTGAGGCCGCTGCTGCTGCTCGACTCAACAGATACCGGAGGCCTGAGCGCGAGCAGTGACCAGCGATCGTTCGCAGTTCATTTGGAAACCCTTCAGATCGTTTGTTTTCGAGGTAAATTGTTTTGAAGCTCGACCGAGAGAGTATCCATTAAACAGCGCTTCCCTCCCGCACCCCCCTCTTCCCAGCGCCATATTATTCATATTCTCAATGCAGACTCTGTAGCCTGTTTGCACCTGGCTGACAGAACACACACACACACACACACACGCAACAACATCTCATTAAAAGCTATAGACCCAGACCACAGCAACACTTTATAACCACAGAAACACAACCAAGACAAAATGCATAATAAGCTCCGGAGGTGAACCAGGAATTATTCATGTGTGCCATTGTGCCATACATTACGGCATTTCTGAATTTTCCTGAAGTAATATGAGCCTGTGCAGCCGACTACATTATGGCGGTAGCCCAGTTGTATCATAAGCTATATAAATGAAAAATAAAACTTCAGATGATTGTGACAAATCTCCAAAAATAACAGTGTCATATAGCGACAGGCCTCGTGAGTGACAAACACACAGAGAAGTGACACCACCGCAGCAGAGGGGGACGGGAACAGTTGCACAAACTCAAGAGAAAGCAGAAAACAGCACAACACAAGCCCGTCATATACGCATGCAAACACTCCTTCCAACACAAACAAGCAGCTCCAAAAGTTCCTGGGCTAAAATGAAAGCCCCCCCCAGGGCCATAAATGCTCCCTTCGCCTGACGCGGCCAAATGCGCAGGGGGCAATAAAACCATAAAAACGCCACAGGGCCATCAGGCACAGAGGGGCAAGAGAGCCAAATACAGGAAAGGGGAGACCAAATTCAATTCCCAGGCCTCTTACCTTTGAAGGCACCACTTTCATCGACCTCTGGGCCATCTTCGTCTGTGCAGTGAAGCTCTGTGACTGGATTGGTGAAGTTTCTTTGGAGGGATTGTCTTCTTTCCAATGAGGGAGAAAAAGTTTTTTTTTCTCTCTTATGGTAGGATACTTGTAGGGTGTAAAAACAGCTTGGTGATGGGTGGAAAGGGGAGGTGAATGTATGAGTGTTTATGTGTGGGTGAGGTGTTTGAGTGAGTGTGTGAGTGTGTGTGTGTGGTTGTGATGGAGGGAGTAGGGGGGTGTCTTCCAAGTGTCTTCCAAGACGTCTTCTTTTTCTTCTCCTCTGCCTGTCGTCTCTGTTCTTTGCCCCCTCTCTCTCTCCTAGCAGAAGGGGTCTTGTGTGTGGCTGCCGGATGACAATAGGGAAGAAGAAGAAGGAAAAGAAGTGTTAACAGAAGAACAAGTGATTAATGATTTTCCTTGTATAATTCTCACATTTTTCTTGAGGTGCCGTCCCCTCTGTCCTGTGCAGAAAATAATGGCTGTGAACTTTTTCAGAGAGGTGGTGGTGGTGGTGGTGGTGGGAGGGGGGGGCGTCCTCACAAAAATCTGCGCTCCCATTCACGAAAAGAGCAGAAGGCCCCAGCTGATAAAGGAGGCTAAAAAGAACTAGGATGCCTTGGTCGATTTTATTGTGCGGGATGTCACCCCGCACGCAAATTCATTTATTTCAACTCGGACTGCAAGTGCTCAGGGGCTTTAGGGGTTATTGTGGAGGCACATATGTGAGAGCCTGCGTGTGGATATTGGAGAGGGGGTGTCTGTTAAGGTGCTTCAATATAGAACAATTGGTGTGTAGCGAAAATTACAACATGCGGACACAAATATAATCCTGTGTGAAGAAAGCTACACCGCCTGCGGATTCTTGTGGAGATAGAGCTATTAAGCATCACAGGATGCTCTTTGCTATGTGTGGCTTGCAGTTTTAGCTGGAAAGGGGTCACACTGGTGTTAAAACGCACCGCATTCCCACAGGAGAAGAATGTTTAATAGTAAAAAAAATATATTGCTAAAACAGAGACAGCTATTTTTAGAGTGGTGAACCTGAATGCGCGGAAATGCAGGTTCACGAGCCTGTGTGCGAGTCGCCATAAGGTTTTGCATTCTGGCACAATAGGTTTGAGCACATCTAGGTGTACACTCTGACAGGAGGGCGGTTTGGGCTCCGAGTAGCCTTTCATAAATAGGAAGAAAACAGATAAATGAGCAGCGGGAGTCTCTGTGGCAAGAGGCCCAGAGAGAAATCAACCAACAAATAATAGGGAATCTTCTCTGGGCCGAGGAATACGAGCGGACCAATTTGGGGGGCACACTCTTTTTGTTTAAAGTTCATCGAGAGGAATGCTATTTTCTCGTTCTCCCCCTCCTGCTCTATATTTTTCGATACCTGCTCTAAGATTAACGGGAGAAAGGGAGTGAAACGGAGGGACGGTTTGTGATTTAAAACGAGATTACAGGACGTAATGTACCAAGATCACTCACAGCCGGGACAGATTAATCATCGCAGGCTCCTGATTTCTCAAGACAGGTCGCTGTGCGTTTGTAGGCAAAACCAACACTGAAATTAAATGAAATTATTTATTGTGAGTGCATGTGGAAGAGTGTGTGTGTGTGTGTGTGTGTGTGTATAATTTCAACACATCCTTCAGCGTTAAACCCATATAAGAGGAAAGAGGAGGAAGAGGTTTTGCTCTTTTAGACCTGCTGAGGAAAGCAAAATGGAAATTATTCTACAACAACGTGCAAGTGAAATACACTTCAACATTAAGCAGAAAAAAACCCTCGAAACCTTAAACGCAACAAATAATTTGAGATAGGAAAAGAGAGAAGATGATAGAAAACGATCCATTTTCAGAAATTTATTTAAATTTCTATGAACTATTTACAAATATTAGAAAGGTAGACATGGGGCAGAGAGAGGAGCAACGTACATGTCGGGGGAAGGCAACACATCTTCAACAATACCATCATTAATAGGCTAACGATAGAAATTTGTCTTTGGAATGTGAATATAACAAGTAAAAACAGCTGCAGAATAAAATATCTAAAAGTGGCACACAGGTGAAAGAGTCAAGAGAGAAGAAGAGGCAAGAGGAGGAGGAAGTGTGCGCGCATTTAATGTGCGAGTAAAGAGACAAAGAGGAACAAAATCAAACTAAAAAAACACCATTCAGACATGCAATAGAAAGCTCCTTATTTTTCTGAATGTCCCCGACTAGAACATTTGCTGATAATTAAATTACATTTTTTTAAAAAATCCCCACATACAATAAATGAATAACGCTGTTTTTCCTACTGCAGGCAATAATTATTATAATAACGCGTCACACAGTTTCAAAAATATAAAAGCTTGAAAAGCTGTCACTTCAAGAAAAACGAGCAAGAGAAAAATAATATGACACCAAATAAAAATATATAAATACAACTGAGGTAATAGGTAGTACATTGTATAGTGCTGCGTTTCAAATGCGTTCTCGAGCTATTTATACCAGGATTTTGGTTTGAACAGCCTATTCGTGTCCTTTGTTTAGGCAACTGTTTGGTAGTAGTGGAAAATACCTTAGTTTCACTTGATTTCACTGGAATCACCCTGTCAGTCTGTTTCCCTGTATAAAAGCATCACAACATGAACAATCACCGGACCACACAAACGCTCCTTGTCATTCTCAGCAATAAACAGCATAAAGTATCATTTTACAATTAACACTGAATTCGAAAAGAAGCATATTTAAAATTCAAAGCTATATTTTGTCCTTAGACAAAACAGAAATACCAACAGCTATAATGACAACAGCAAGACATGCCTGGTGTCATTTTGGATCATACCGGAGGTTATATTTGATGTTAGAGGAGGCTACTATAAGGCTGTTGCATTCTGGCACAATAGGTTTGAGCACATCTAGGTGTACACTCTGACAGGAGGGCGGTTTGGGCTCCGAGTAGCCTTTCATAAATAGGAAGAAAACAGATAAATGAGCAGCGGGAGTCTCTGTGGCAAGAGGCCCAGAGAGAAATCAACCAACAAATAATAGGGAATCTTCTCTGGGCCGAGGAATACGAGCGGACCAATTTGGGGGGCACACTCTTTTTGTTTAAAGTTCATCGAGAGGAATGCTATTTTCTCGTTCTCCCCCTCCTGCTCTATATTTTTCGATACCTGCTCTAAGAAAAGAAAATGAAAATTAATACGGGAGCCGCGCCTTACAAAAGAAGCCATTCGTCTTGTTGATTATCTATTTGGTTGTCAGGGTTTGAGCTATGGCACCGGCCTGCTCTCTTTTTGTAATATATAAAAAATAAAACACACATGCGCTCATAGCACCGGTCCAGAAAACACCGATAGGAAAAAAAAAAGGGGTTGTGCAAAAAATTACATTCATTAAAGCATTAAAAGACCACGAACCGAGAAACTATTTAAATCTTTTTAACTTCAGAACTAGAATAGGAAGGGGGGGGTACACGGCCTTGTGGGTGTTTGAGGGGGGTGGGGGTAGGGGCGAGGGGTAAGGGGCAGAGCCGCGTTTCACCCCTCTGCTTTGTAGCCGCAGAGTAAACATGACAAATGGGGCCCGAGCTTGGCATGATTAAAGATGAAAACGAGGATCCATCTTCACCAAAAATGTCTGGGACAGAATAAGGGGGGAAAAGGGAAAGAAGCTTCTCATCTCCAGGCTAGCATCTCTGTCTTAGAGAGGAAGAGATAGAGGAGTATAAAAAGACAGAAATATAAAAAGCACAGAGAGTGTGAGAGAGAGAGTGCGTGAGGGAATAAGAGGACACAAGCAAAGAAGCGACCGCATTATTTTTGTCAGTTCTTTCAGTGTCCTTCGCCTCCTTTTGTTCATTTTTTTCTGAATGGGAAAGCTCCCCCACTACCCCCTGCCACGTCATAACGTCATATAGCATCAGCACAGATCGGGGCCATACATGCGGCAAAGACACCCCTCTCTCCCAGAGCAACAGCGTTATTCTGGTCCAAAGTGCAGGTTGCGGTTGTTACAAGCGTGGTGTTCAGTTTAGGAATTAATCAGGAAAAGGGAGGGCACGCATCATACAAATACTGGGCTATAGGGGTCCGGTGGAGCGGTGCTGGGGACCCGTTAAGGTCTGGGAGTTTGTGTTGTTGTTGCTGTTGTTGTTGTTTGTTCCGGAGCGGACCTTGGTGTTAGGCAACTTGTGGTCCTTCTTCCACTTCATCCTCCGGTTCTGGAACCAAATCTTGATCTGCCGCTCTGACAGGCACAGTGTGTGAGCTATCTCCACCCTGCGCCTGCGCGTCAGGTACCGGTTGTAGTGGAACTCCTTCTCGAGCTCCAGGACCTGTTGGCGCGTGTAGGCCGTCCGCGACCGCTTCGGCTCGCCTCCTGTGTAGCTTGAGCTCACTGTGGGAGAACAATGGGGATCCATGAAAAATACAACCACCGCAGTGCTATCACCAGCAACGTACCCCCTGCCACGTCATAACGTCATATAGCATCAGCACAGATCGGGGCCATACATGCGGCAAAGACACCCCTCTCTCCCAGAGCAACAGCGTTATTCTGGTCCAAAGTGCAGGTTGCGGTTGTTACAAGCGTGGTGTTCAGTTTAGGAATTAATCAGGAAAAGGGAGGGCACGCATCATACAAATACTGGGCTATAGGGGTCCGGTGGAGCGGTGCTGGGGACCCGTTAAGGTCTGGGAGTTTGTGTTGTTGTTGCTGTTGTTGTTGTTTGTTCCGGAGCGGACCTTGGTGTTAGGCAACTTGTGGTCCTTCTTCCACTTCATCCTCCGGTTCTGGAACCAAATCTTGATCTGCCGCTCTGACAGGCACAGTGTGTGAGCTATCTCCACCCTGCGCCTGCGCGTCAGGTACCGGTTGTAGTGGAACTCCTTCTCGAGCTCCAGGACCTGTTGGCGCGTGTAGGCCGTCCGCGACCGCTTCGGCTCGCCTCCTGTGTAGCTTGAGCTCACTGTGGGAGAACAATGGGGATCCATGAAAAATACAACCACCGCAGTGCTTTCACCAGCAACGTATATGGCATATTATTATTATTATTATTATAACAAAGTAAATGAGCTGGCTGCGCTATATAATAGTGTAGGCTCATGAAAGAAGGCATTACGCAGTGCTCTCACTTGTAGAAAACGGCAAATCAAGCCACAGGGAATCAAAAATGATGTACGTGCATTATAAAGCATGCAACTAAGAGAAATAAAGACATGGCCACCGCGGTTGGACCTACTGTGGCAGAATACAAAATGACTCTAACCTTGGCAGACCCTCCAGTAACTGCAGTCCTCTTTTTATCCTACACATTTTTTTTTATCCTGTGCTTTTAAATGTTATGTTTATATATTTATTTTACACTACGTTTGTTGCCAGGACACTGCATTTTCAGTAACCATATGTTGTCAAGTGTCATTTTAGGCCCGGCAGCGGGGTGAATCCTCCATGCACACCCAGTCTGACTCTGGTATCCAAATATTGTAATTCCAGAGCACATCGGGTCCACGGTCGCTTCTAAAGGTCTGAGCAGGTTCCCCTTTTTTCACTGGTCTTGTGCACATGTCACGGGCTGAGAGCGCGGATGGTAGCACTGTGTGTCTTCTATGTGGTTTAGAATAAAGGTGGTGGTGGGGGTGCATCAAGTACATGACGGCACTGCACGGCCAATTGAATGGGTCAACAAATCCAAAATGTACAACTGGTCAGCGGCAAGCAAACATGCTGCAGTGTGCACTGTGTCTAAAGGCATACCAGTTAAAATAGCTTCCAAAATAAAAGAAGATTTAAGTCGTTTTCCTTACCAAGCAAATAGCATTCATTATGGTGACTAGGCAAAAGTGCCATTTTGTCGCCGCGCAAACATGCGTCCCGATTATCCCAACACGCAATAGGCAGCAAGTCTATTATAACATTACACAGAAGCCATAATAGAGAGGGGCTTTTCGGTTTTACATTAGTGTTTTACGGCCGGCTCCATAAACATGAATATTTCAGCTCCCATAAAACGATCCCTTCCCTGGAACAAGGAGTGGGGAAGGAAGGCTCGACGGAGTAAAGTACACCGTTTATACAACCCGACCACTTAAAATCAAATTACCAAAGCATAAAAGTTAACTTATGGGCTCGGTTTGAGTTGTCATAAGGCGAGGAATTAGAGCAGAAGAGCCTGAGATCGGACTTCAAAAGGCACCTCAGCGGAGAGGTGTAATAAAAATTTATGGAGGGTGTAATTATATTGGCCCTGCAAACAGATGATCGTAAATCTTGACCCAAGGGCTACTCTTCTACTTCTAACAGAAAACAGGGAGGGGAAGTCATAGATTTTGACTGTGGACACCTAGCTGACTGCATGGGTTTCAACTGCAGGCACAAAGGCGCAGGGAGAGAGAGGGAGAGAGAGAAAGAAGTTTGCATGCAGCACTTACCAATGTTTACATGGACTTTCTTCATCCACGGGTAGACAACAGGGTCCTTACGAGTGCTTGCGGGGGAAGAAGTGCTTTGGCTGTGGGGCGTTTGGCCGCAAGACGGAGGTGGAGGCGGGCTGGGTGACACCGAGTCGCAGCGGTGGCTCTGCTCCGGGACTGGGGTGGTCTGCAGCCCGGAGGGGTGGAGGACGTGACCCCGAGGGGACATCACCACCGAGGCGGGTTGTCCTGCGCGCTGGCACGGCGTGTACGGCGGCTCGGCTCGTTGCTGGTGGTGGTTCTGCTGGTGGGGGTGGTGTTGTTGGTGGTGGAAGAGAGAGTCCGGTTGAAACGCAGCAGGCTCCTGCCTCTGAGAGCTGTAATAGTCCGGAGAGTGGCTGGGCAGATAGTCGCTCTGTGAGTATTCTTCGCACGGTGGGAACTTCGGGTCCACATAGTTGGAGTTGATCAAATAGGAGCTCATGGCCATTAATTTCACTCTTTTTGTGGAATTGAACCTACTCGGAAAATATATAACTAAAATTTATATCTCATCCCCTTACTCTTCGGTTATTCCTGTTCAGTTAAACCCTCCTACTTTTTTGTCAAGTGAAAAAAGTTAGGAAGCCACGTGACGGCAGCCGGCCAATGGCGTGCCTGCAGGACAAACCCCGGATAAGGAAATGGGAGAATACAGAGAGCCCCCGCACGCGCATCATCATATGGCCTCAGTTTGTGGGCATTCACAGTCTTACAATACTTTCCCCTGCACCCACCCACCCCCGCGCCCCCCCATGCCCTGTTCTC